TCATAGGGAGCGGTGCCACTGACTGTGTTTATTATGTTAATATTGTCTTCTCTTATCGCTGTCCGGATCCATTGTGTTATTATAATGTGCTCTTTCTTCTATTGACAAGCATGTTTCTTTTCTTGTCCACTTTGGACAGCAATAAGTTAGTGTTTCAAGCTTGAAGGTGATGTGATTACGATGCTGTATTTAACATGCAAAAATTTTTGAGGAGGGGACTGTTCCAGATTTTAGCAGCATGAATCTGAAAAGCAGCCTCCCCATGTTTAGTTCTGACTCTGGGCACTAACAGGAGTCCAGTCCCTGTGCTCCTCAGAGTCCGGGCTGGTTCATATGGGACTAACATGTCACTAATATAGTTTGGTGCGAGGCCATGGAGAGATTTGTACACAAGCAGAGCTGTTTTAAAGTCCTATTCTCTGAGCCACAGGAAGCCAGTGCAGGGACCTGAGGACCGGACTAATGTGGTCGTACTTCCTGGTTCTAGTCAGGACTCGAGCTGCTGCATTTTGAATGTACTGCAGCTGTTTTACAGCCTGTTTGGGTGACCTGTGAGCAGGCCATTGCAGTAGTCTAACCTACTGGAGACAAATGCATGGATAAGAATCTCCAAGTCTGCTTTAGACACTATGTTTTTGATCCTGGCAATGTTTTTTAGATGGTAAAAAGCTGCTGATGTTACTGATTTGATGTGGCTATTAAAATTTAAGTCTGAGTCCAGTATTACCCCTAGATTTCTGACCTTGTTTGAAGGTTTTAGGGAGAGAGACTGTAGGTGACAGATGACGCTCTCTCTTTGTTTCTGGGGACCAAAGACAATCATTTCAGTTTTGTCTGCGTTTAGCTGAAGGAAGTTGTTTTGCATCCACTCACTGATCTGTTGGATACAGTGAAGGAGTGAGTCCACTGGTCCATGTTCTCCTGCAGTCAGTGAGACATAGATCTGAGTGTCGTCTGCATAGTTGTGATAGGACACTTTGTTTCTGCGTATTAACTGACCTAACGGCAGCATGTAGAGATTGAACAGAAGAGGTCCCAGGATCGACCCCTGTGGGACTCCACAGGTCAGGGCCATATGATCTGAGACACAGTCTCCAATCTCCACAAAGTACTTCCTGTCTTCAAGGTAAGACCTAAACCAACTTAGGGCGGTGCCAGCGACTCCAACCCAGTCCTCTAATCTCTGTAAGAGGATCTCATGGTCGACGGTGTCGAAGGCAGCACTTAGATCTAACAAGATTAAGATTGAGACTTTGCCTGCGTCAGTGTTCAGCCGGATATCGTTTGTAACCTTGACAAGAGCAGTCTCAGTGCTGTGGTGGGGTCTAAAGCCGGACTGAAACATATCAAATGAGTTGTTAATTATAAGAAATCTAGTAAGCTGTAGGTAGACAACTTTTTCAAGGACTTTCCCCATAAATGGCAGATTTGAGATGGGACGATAGTTGTTAAGTACCGTAGCATCCAGGCTGCTCTTTTTTAGCAGGGGCCTGATGACTGCAGTTTTCAGGGCCTTTGGGAATATTCCAGAATGAAGGGACATGTTTACTATCTGTGTGAGTGAAGGTAACAGACTGCTCAGAACAGACTTCAGAAATCTAGTGGGTAGTACATCCAGGCTGCATGTGGAGGAGCTCAAACTGGAGATTATTTCTTGGACATTTTTATCATCTACAGGTGCAAAGTAAGTTAGCTCAGAGAGCCTTTCTGGCTGTTGGATGGTTATCTGTGGATTGGAGACAATGGCGTTTTTGATGCCTTGAACCTGAACAGGGGGGTTTGTTAATCTATTAACTGTTGAAAACAGAACACGCAGATTGTTACTGCAGCCTTCAATCATTTCAGAAAAATACCTTTCTCTCGTACTACGTAGCACCCGGTTAAACTCGCACAACTTATCTTTGAAGATCTTGTAATCAACCTGGAGGTTGGACTTGCGCCACTTCCGCTCGGCCCTCCGGCACTTTCTCTTTTGTGCCCTGACCGAGTCTGCTTTAGCCCACGGCGCCTTCTGCTTATTTTTCACTATTTTAACCTTCACAGGGGCAACGGTATCCAGAACATTCAAAACACTAGAGGTGACAGAGTTAAACAGTTCATCTACAGTAGAATACGATGCATTCTCAAAGTTTATCATTCCCATAAATAGATCACTCGTATTTTCATTTATGTGTCTTCTTCGAACAGTTGCAGAGTCCACTGGTGGTTTGTTAGTGAAACACATGTCAAAAAATACACAGAAATGATCCGAAAGAGCAACATCGACCACGCTTATATTTGAAATATTCACCCCCTTTGTAACTAACAGGTCTAGAGTGTGCCCTCTGCTGTGGGTGGGGCCACTCACATGCTGAGTGAGACCAAAGGTATCAAGTAAAGAACTCAGCTCTTTTGCATTTCTGTCATCAACATTATCCACATGAATATTAAAATCACCTGTAATAACTAAACTATCAAAATCTGTGCATACAACAGAAAGCAACTCGGTAAAATTATCAATAAAACTGTGACATGACTGCGGTGGCTTGTATAGGACTATGAAGAGTATTGGAGGAGATTGTTTTTTGTTGTATTTTAAAAGACACATATTAAAAAAACGGAAACTTCCCAAGAGACATTCTATGGGAGACAAAGTGGTCTCTGAAAATGGCAGCTAAAGCCCAACGCACACCGAAACGCCTTGACGCGCGGCAAAAGAGCCGCCTCCTTTATTTTCTATGAGAGAACGCACACCAAGGTTGCAGTGACGCGCGGCGACGCTGGACCGGGCGCCACGATTCAGTTTTGTTGAATCCAGACGCGGCGCCGCGGCTGAAACTGTCCCTCCAAGCACCCGTAGTTTTCTTCTTCTGCGCTTCTTATCACGTAGCTGTGAGCGCGGTCTCAAATTTACACACTTGTCGGCGCTATTGCTCAAGTAAACCGGTCACAATGGACGAGGAAAGCTTGATAACCCAAGTACAGCGTTACCCAGAGCTATTTAACCCACAGAATCCTTTTTATAAGGATATCGTGCGAAAGGAAATTGCCTGGAGAGCAATTTCACTTGAAATTGAATGTACAGGTAAGCTAACAATAGGTAATTGTAGCTATTTTTATTGGCTATATTGGCTATATCAGCTGGAAAAGGACGCTAGCCAAGGCGTTCCGGTGTAATTTGACACATGTCATGAACGCGCGTCAAATGACGCGCCGCGAGGCGCTGCGTTTCGGTGTGCGGTGAGCTTAAGCCTCCTCCTTTTTTGTTTTCCCGTATTTCAGATTCAAATTTGAAATTTGGTGGTGATGCTTCTATTAAAACTGCATTTTCTGTATTTTGGTCAAGCCATGTTTCAGCCATGAACATAAGATCAAGATTATAAGAACAAATAAAATTATTGATTAAAAAAGACTTGTTAGAAAGAGATCTGACATTTAGCATAGCAAGTTTCAAAGTGTCAGTATCAGCGGTTGTGGTCGGCTGATTCTTACACGGAACAAGAATTAGATTTTCCAGATTAGACTGATTAACTCCAGATGTCTTTCTGTAATCTATTCTTTGTGTTATCACTAAGGGAATGGCACAGGTGGCTTCATGACAGGGCCCCAGCCGGGTCTCTCCTCTAACTAGACTGCCAGTGGCTGCGAAGCAGAGACCCTGTGCATCCTAGGGAGAGGAGGGAGGAGGATGGAGAGGTGGGTGGTTCTTGGGTGTTGGACGAGGGGGGGTTGGAGGTGGATGGGTGTTAGGGGAGGGGCAGGAGTTGGGAGATAGACGAGGGGGGAGTGGAGGTGGAGGGGTTCTTGGTGATGGGAAACGAGGGGGGGTGGGGGTGGGGCTGGAATGGTTTTGGGGTTAGGGGAGGGACCTGTGGATTTTGCGGGTGAATTTGAGTTAGAATTTGAGGGACGGGTGGATTTTGTGGGAGAATTTGAGTTGGACGCCCTAGGTGGCTTTGGAGGTACGTATGGGGAGAAGTTATGAATGTTAGATAGGACCCTTGATCTGGCTACAGTGGGTGTGAGAGGAATATTCTTCATCGCCGATCTTATCATGCCTGCAGAGTGTTCCGGTAAATCCAATAGTGATGGAAAACACAGGGAAAGGTCGTCCTCATGTTCCTTAGATGGAGTGGATGTAGCGGGGGGGACCCAAACCGGGTCCATGGAAGGTGATGAGGGAGTCTTTGGTGGAGACGGAGGTGGTTGAGAGGCCCCCAGTGCAGGCCTGACTGTAGCCTGTAGCAATGGGGGGGGCTTCACGGGAGCTGTAGGTGGGGAAGGTGCTGCTGAAGATGATGCAGCAGCCACAGCTGGTGCTGGTGGTGCTGATGCTGAAGGCGCTGATGACGCTGTGGCAGCCACTGCTGCTGCTGGTGCTGGATCCTTTGCTGATGATGATGCTGGTGGACGTGTTGAGTTCTTTTGAGGCGGTGGAAGTGCCGAGACCTCTGGGTTCCGTGAGGGTCTCGCCCTTTGTATCCTCCTCTCTTTCAACGGCTGAACGCGCTGCGCAGGCTGAGGTCTTAGGGCAGATGCAAAGTTATCCATCAACACTTTTACTCCGTATTTGTTCAGATGTGGGCCTTTCCCTTCAAAGAGCTCGAGCCTATTCCAGAACAGATTGAAGTTTTCAATGAATCCAAGTCCTCTGCGTGAACACTCATTGTGTAGAAATGAATTTAACTGGTACAGACGGCTAAACTTCTCGATTTTTCCATCTGCATTTGGAATGGGGCCACTGATTAGCACGTTTAACTCCATTTTTTTAAGGTCATCCAGCAGCAGAGTAAAATCTCTTCTCAACTTCTCGGTGGATTTCTCATAAATGTCTACTGCCCCTGTGTGTATCAACAATGTACTTACATCCTTGGTTTGAGATAAAACAAGTATGTATATTATTATATTTATACAAAGAAAACAAATGGCAAATGGAGATAGTTCCCTTTACATTTAAATTGTTGACTTTAAACATAATCATCCAAATGCAGGCGCTGCTGTGTCCCAACAGCCTTTATCCACTACACACTGCTCACTGCGGAAGGAGCTGTAACACATTCAACACATCAACCACATGGACATAAAACACAGAAACAGTGACTCTTGAACGTCTCTGGTCCAAACACTACCTCTGATGTGTCTCCATTCTCTGAAGCTCAAGCAGCTGCTGCCGACGTAAGACAGAGCGGTGAGAAATGCAAAACACTGCAAGCACATGTACATGTTATTCACATGTTTAGATGAAGTTTAACTAAAACATTTAAGAATGAGGGCCACTTCAGTTCCTCAGATTTGTCCCGGGCCAACAACCCAGATTGTAACACTTATTTTGAGTGGATAATGATGTCATGGTGAATTACATCATCTATGTGGAATTACATGAGCTGAAGTTGGCTGAATGTTAAACTTTTCATTTCTCACCATCTACATATACAGAATATCATTCCACAATCAAAATAATGTTGGTAGAGCCAAACAAATTTCAAGAGGAGGATTCAAGAGGTTCTAAACTTTACAACAAGCTGAGCTGAAGTTGGCTGGATCACACTATGAACTTGTCTTTATCGCAATGGCTACTCTGGGTCAGCAAGGCAGAGGATTGGACTTTGGACATGCCTGAAGTAGAACACATTCTAACATAAGTCTTACAGATGAAGCAGTCCAGCATTTGTAGTTGTGGCGCCCTCTTGTGGCCTCATTCACAGTAGCAGTGTTTACCACCGCTGCCATCAGGTACAGGCACGCAGCAGCAGCGTTCACACAGAGGGACTGAGGATAAAAACACAAACTGATCAGTGACAAAACCAATTGCGTATGCAACTGATATTGTTGCAGGTAATATCAACAACATGCTCTTTTAGTAGCTTTATTTCTTACTACTGTACACTATATCATTCTATTTCCTAGAACGTTGAAAAAATGTTGATAAGGAATTAGCTGCAGAAATACTTTTAAGTAGAATCAAGTGGAGTGCTGGATTTAAAGATTACTCCAATATCCTTTTGACAAGTGCATTTTTATTCACTGCTGTAATGACCAAACAATGAAAGAAAAGTGAACCAAAACAATAGGCCCTTACCAGAACTGTCCAGGGAATGTGCGGGGCTCTGATTGGGATTTCACTCAGAAAGATGATGAAGAAACTGAGGGAAAGAATCCAACAAGAGACAGCGACGAACATCACCCAGCAGAGAGCTGGAACATGGAGGATGTCTGTTCCTCCAACCAGGAGCCACACCAGCAACCCGAAGAGCTGCAGTGGACACAAGAGTTTAGTACAACAGCAAATTGTGTCGTCAGTCACATGAAAAACAAAACAGTTTTGAGACTACTGCTCATGGATGTAAAGTTGGGTTTTGTCCCTTTTACAGACTGTCAGCAGCCAGAATGTATTTACACCGTTTTTTCCTTTCGTTGTTTCAGAGAGGAAGAGACACACTAACATTCACAAAGTAGGAAATCAAATTTGGTTTTGTTTTTCCCCAATCTATAAATACCGACATACATACATGTATGTTCTGGTAATGAAAACCTTTCACACAATAAATACAAGGGTCATTACTTACGATTTGTGTGATCAGGAGCAGTCCTTTGGGGCTCATGATGACAGGTTGGTGAAAAGTGGAGAAAGTGTTTTGGGGGACCATTCTCTGCTCTGTTCTGTTACTCTGTGAGAAATGTAAATATGGATGTAATGGGACTTTGTTGCTGTTACAGAGGAAGTCCTGTCCCGGAATCACGCAAGGACGCCCTTCGACTGATAAAGTCTGTTATTTTGATTTTTCCGATTGGAGGAAATGGTAATCTGTGCTGGTTTGTTCTTGCTCAAAAATACCTAAGTGAGAACCATGAATTCAACATGTATATACTTACGAACATGTATAATATATCACTCACTAGTTGGATGCATATTATCATCAATAATCATTTTCCATCTTACTACAAAAGGCATATGCAGCTTCTTCCACTGGGGGGCAGTCTATCCATACAATGGAACAGTGATTCTTTTTTTATTTAAAATAAGCTATATGCATTTACACATTGAGAGAGAGAACATTCAGTGCTCAAGCATATATTCATTTAATTATAGTTGCGGAGTTGGGTCTCTGAAGCTGATTTGTGTCCAGACAGAAGAATGACACACTACTATATACTATCAGGAAATGTTGCATTCCTGTATAGGCAGTTTAGTCCATAATGAAATGGATCATTCAGTGGAAGCAATGGATTTTCTGTAGAAGGTGGCAACTGGGTCATTAATGCAAGAACAGAGACACCTTCAGCTCAGGCATATAGAGTAGATAAAGTGATTTTTGTTTCCATAATTAAACATTATACCAGAATGGTGCACATTGAGTGCATCTGTGCAGATCTTTGTCACACAACCATTTTTCTTTATTCAACATACAGAAAAACTTCTTGCTCAAGGACCCAATGTCACATACTTTAATGCCAGATGTTGCATCATGACATTGATTAAAGGCAAAAGCACAACGACTTTATTGGCTTCTGGGTCCCTGAATGTTAATGTATAAATTCCACAATGCTAATCCATTCTAAGTAATCAATGCACACCTGTAGAATACATAAGAAGAGAAATAGAGGATTAAGTAAGTTGTACTATTTTTGAGGCTGTAAAGCCACTGAAAGCTGTAACAATTTCACTTCACTTTTCATTATATCTAATATTTGTGTCTTTGCACAATCTTGTGGGAATTTAATATAAAGAGATCCTATAAAAAGACATAATGAACAGAGCTCTTGTCCATACTGGGACCCATATGCATATGCCAGATCCTAAACGGTTAATAAACTTAAATGCAAGAGTGTGACTGGAAAAGCAGGAGAGGAGGGCTTGATTGTCAGTCTGCGGTGGAACTTGCTTCTTATTCAATATGGATGGTGCGTCCTCAGAAGAAGCTATAGACCACGGCGTCTCAAACTATAGACTACACTGTTGAACTGAATTGAAGTCTTAATGATAAATTAGGATTAGAATTCACACAATAACAAGTTTGGTCCAATCGAACGTTCTGGTGATCTGAAATGTACAAATACACTTTTGTATATAGTTTAAAATTCAAAGCAGTGAAGCATATTCAATGCATGTGGTTGATTTTCTGACCTTTACTGCACATGTTTATAATATAATATCAAGTGGTCTGAGCATCTGTGAGTATATTTACAGAGCTGATTCTTTACCATCTAGTCTTTGTGAAGGAGAAGATGTTATTTATTCAGGATATTCCAGTGTTGCAATGCACAAATAAAGGAATATAAGAAATGATCCAAACATGATATATGTGAATTCAATTTGAAAAGTCTCCAACATATGATTATCAGTTGCATGTTATACTTATCCTCTTTCTTTCCATCATCCTTCTCAGTCCCAATTATATAGCAAGTTAAACCCTCCTACTTTTACCCGCCTGATCATCATCATTTTCATTAGTCTCAATAGATAAATAACAAACATTTCCTCCCTCCCCACCATGGCTAGCGTCTTTTAAATGCACCACTGTATGAAAAAAAGAAGAAGAAGAAGAAAAGAAAAAAGTCCCCAATACAAATAATAAATGGTTTGCCGGGTTTGTATAGAGGATAGACAACTAAGCATAATAATTTCTGTTCCCAACTGCTGCTACCAACAGTCATATTTGTAAACAACAAAAATTTTGGTAAAAATTGTCTTCCATGTTGTGTTTTAAAACAATTCTTTCTGTTTTAGGCCTGTAGTTAGATAATACAGCAGCTGGGACACAAAGCCTCACCTATTGTCACACACACAGAGCACCTATTACCTGAACCAGGCGACACGCTAAGAGGTAAATAACCTGAACTCCCCCTGAACCTCAGCAGCCCACACACACCATCAGATTCATGTGTCTTGTGGGGACAGAAGTGGTGACAATTCTGATTAACCCTTTTATATTATAACCTTAATATAGAACATATAGACATAGTATCATCCACATAGCCTCAAACAATGTCTCAAACAATGACTTAACAAGTCCCCACATAATACACTTATCCACACACACTCACACACACTATAAAACATGTGTTCAAGCCCAGATGCTGCAGTGTAATTGGCCGCAGTGGCTTCCTGCTGTGGCAAAGATATTTTTAATGCCTAAAGACACACACACACTAATGCCTGCCTCTGCAGCATCTGCTACAATCCCAACCATAGGCCTGTTTAACCGCCAACCAGATGATTGAGATAAAATTATGGGGTTGTTCATTTGAACTTCACTGCAAGTATAGTTTTGATGTCCTTCTCTGTTTTGCTTGGACTCGTTTATGGGGGCTACAAGTTTAAGGTCCATATGTCCTGGCTGAAATACAGCTTTGGTCATATGACCACACACTTTTCATCATCCGGTCCACTCTACATCACTACCGGGCTGCACGATTTTGGCAAAATATCTAATCGCTTTCTTTTTTTGGACAAACATTACAATTGCAATTAGATCATGGATAACTTTGTATAATTGGGTTTTCTCTTTTCAACACTTACAGAGAGAACAGGAACAAGAATGATAACATTTCAGAAACATAAAATCTGTATGAAATATACATAAGATTGAAGTTACAGCAAATATACAATAGTTTATCTTATAGTGGAAATGATTTCATGATTCACAACAGAAAGTTAACAAACAGATATGCAGCACTGTGGAGGCTCCTCGACATAACATCATGATGTTATTGAATGTCAAAGTACGGCCACATTCTGCAAACAAACCTTTCTATGGAGTGGATGACCCAGAAAAGTTACAATAACCTCTAAAGACTACATATTGTGCTTTATAGTATTAGAATAAGATTGGAGAGCCTTTATTCGTCCCACATTGGGGAAATTTAAAAACATTTAAATAATATGTGACACCTGTGGCTCATTATTACAGTATGTGTTTTTTATTCATAATTTTAAAATCACTGCAATAATTTGCAAACATCATACATCAAAATGTATGTCTTCAGTGTTTTTTATTTTTCAAATATATGTCAGAATGCATAGATGCTGTCAAATTACGAATCTCACATTTAGTTTGCGAGTGCTGAACAGTTGCCATGAACCAGTGGTGCTAGAAAGACATAGCCGGCTCAAACATAAATCCCTCAATAAAAACTACAGCCGTGCACAAACAAGACGGGAGAACAATTAAAATATAGTTGAATTATAGGAATACAAATGGGTTTTAAATTGTAAATCTTCTATAGGACTTTTCCCCTTCCAAAAATAGTGATGTTTTGGGTCTTGGCTTGGACAATGCTTTACTTTGGCCTTCCCTCTGAGGTTGGGAAAGACAGAGCGGACAGAGACAAGAGGCGGAGGGTGCAGAGAGAGAGAGGGAAGGGCGATGGATGTATCAAACACTAGCCCCCTGCTGAGTGGGGAATGGAAAGCTGCTGGCACCGCATGAATATTTCAACAGCAGATATAACATACTCTCTCTCTGCCTCAGTCTGTCACTCGCCCGTTCCGTCTCTCACCTTTTCTCCCTCCATCACCCCCCCTCACACCCCCATACAAACACCCATCTCTCTGTTCTCCCTGCGACACTGGACGATCATAATGAAGGAGAGTGAAAATTTTGAGTTAATCCGAAACAGACAGTTGAGTGGTCTAATATTGGATCCTAATTAGCAGTAGCATTTCCACAACCTTTTTTTTCTTGCATAGCTGAAAAAATAAATAATTTCTTTGTCTACTAAGATAACACATTTTCAAAACAAACTTTTTTTCTAAACTGAATTGTAAGCCTACAAATGGCTGTAGACTTGATTTGGATTGGTCATACAAGACATAGGCTTAGGTCTGACCTTCTTGGCGGCAGTAGATGTGAAACCAAAACAACAAATACTGACAAGAAGAGAGAGAGAAAGCTCCTCCAGAAACAGTTACAGATTTTAACTCTATTTTTCCTCAATAATTTATCACGTCCGTTACAGAACTGCTGTTTATTTTTAAGAGCAACAGAGTCTATTGAAAACAAGCACAATGCAACCATTTAAAATATCCCAACACAAAAAAAGGGCTTTTTGGGAGACACACAACTATATTCACATATTAGTAGTACAGAAGTAGCTAGAAATGGCTCTATGTTTTGGCAGCAACAAAGAACAACAAACGGTGCCAGAATTCGGCAAACAGAAAAAGCGGAAATTGAAAAATGCATCATACACAAAGCAGCCAACTAAATGTACAAAACTTATACAATGCCTCAGTAGCATATTTATAACTCACTTTACTTTGGATGTAAGCAGCAATTAATTGAAAAAGTGGGTTTCAAGAGGGGAAAAGGAAATATTTCTGCAGACACTGTTCGTTTATTACTTACAATTTCCAGCTTATATATTTCTTATCATGTGGCTGCAGGCGAGAAGTAATAGAGACAACATTTTCCATTGCTGATAAAAAGCCACAATCAGCTATCAGATTAGATTTCTATAACAAAATTAAAATTGAAATGCCATTGTGATTTAATGTGTTTTTGAGTTTCAATTAGTTTACCTTTTTAACCCCAAAATGTATACAAAAACAAAGACACCAATAAATAGCCTCCAGTATGTATTTTATGTGGAGTGTTCAAAATTCATAAAACATATTTCCTTCCTCATCATCACTCATTCTTTGAAG